ATCGCGAGGTTGGCTTCCTTTCTCCTGTGGGTGCTGGGGAGGGGTGGGACAGCTCGCTTTCCTAGACCTTCCGGCTGACCGTCACGGAGCTGCTGCTCTTCTTCACCACGGTGCTGGACCCTCCGCCCACAGGGGAGAACCCTGTCCCTCCGACGCTGATCCCCACCCCAGCACCAAATCCCCCCCCAGAGCCAAACCCAGCCCCTCCTAGGTTGTAGCTGAAGCCAGCACCGCCCGCACTGCAGCTGCCTCTCCCGCTTCCAGCGCCGAATCCAATTCCTCCTCCTCCTCCGAGGTGCAGTCCGCTGCCGTATCCACCTCCCATAGAGCTGCTGCCGCCTCCCACCACAGCTGCAGAGAGGAACAGAAGGCACGAGGTTACCTCTGATGCCACCGTAACGTGTGGGAGCATCGGTCCCAGCCCGCCGTGCGCCCGTGGGAACGCCACTTACAGATGCTGACGGCGCTCTGGCACTCTCCAGACATCCTGCAAGGAGAAGAGGTGGAGTGTCAGCTCCAGCCAGAGCATCTGCTCCATGAAGCCAGGCTTGGTCCACCAGACCACGGGCACAGATAGCAGCAGCTATAGGGCCGTAGTCCACAGCTAGTGGCAACACCATCGATATTTTTATAGAGGAGATGTGATGTGCCCTGTCCTTCCCATCACCGATTTAGCAGAATGCAGCCAAGCTCTTGCTCTGTCCCCACCCACCTGCACTCCTCGCCCTCCAGCAGCTTCCTGTAGGTCGCAATCTCGATGTCCAGGGCCAGCTTGACGTTCATGAGCTCCTGGTACTCGCGGAGCTGCCGGGCCATCTCTTGCTTCGCCTTCTGCAGGGCGGCCTCCAGGTCAGTCAGTTTGGTCCTGGCATCCTTGATGGCCAGCTCCCCGCGTTCCTCAGCATCCGCGATGGAGGTCCGCAGAGTTTCACACTGGAGGGCAAGACGTGGGTGCGATGAGTGGGGCAGGGGCAGCCAGCTGGGGATGCTCCTAAGCCACGATCGCAGATAGCTCGGGCTCAGAAGTTCACAAGCCCAGCAGGTTCCCTCCCGTTGACAATCCTGTTGCCAGACTATTTGCTTTCAGGGAGGTTCCGCAGGGCATCACCGAGAGCTCACACCCCTTTCTCAAAAAACGCAACCCCTACCTGTTTCTTCACGCTCTCCATCTCAGCACGTATCCTCTGGATTGTGTGATTGAGCTCGGAGATCTCCATCTTTGTGTCCTTCAGGCTGTCGCCATGTTTTCCTGCAGTAACCTGCAGCTCTTCATACTGGTGGGCAGAAGCGAGAGGAGCACGTCAGGTCCACCACAAGTGACTCCCCTCACTGGCTGTCCAGACCACCCTGTGCAAGCCAACGCGAGCTTGCATACGCTAGCTCCGGTCTGGCCGGATCAGAGCCAGCAACGTGCCTGGTCTCAGCATGTTCTGAGCTACCGCCAGGAACTCGTTCACCTCCTCCACCGCCAGAGACCACAGGCAGCATGTGGAGCTCTCACCTTGCTTTGGTACCAAGACTCAGCCTCCACTCGGCTCCGGTTGGCGATCTCCTCGTATTGGGCTTTGACCTCCGCAATGATGCTGTCCAGATCCAGGTTTCGGTTATTGTCCATGGTGACGACCACAGAGGTGTCAGAAACGGTCTTCTGCATCTGAGACAGCTCCTGCAATTCGCACCAGATCTGGCTTTAGCCCCACCACCACTTCCTCACAATGTCGCAACCCTTCTCCACGCAGCATCCCCCTCCAGAGAGCAGCTGGACCACTTACCTCCTCGTAAAGATACTTCAGGAAGTTAATCTCATCTGCCAGAGAATCGAGTCTTGCCTGAAGTTCCACCTTGTTGGTGTAGACCCCATCCACGTCCTGCAGCAGAAACAGGAAGTGAAGCCTCCTGCCTGGCACACCGCTTCCCACCCAGCATCCAACCACGAGCCCTCTGGTGCTCCTTTTCCCTGCAGCACAGCCATCTAGGGCTCCCATTTTACGTCCGGTGATGAAGAACCAGTGCTGATGGGAGCAAGAGATCCTCCGAACCAAGATGTGTCTCCATGTTCAAAAAAATAAAAGGACTTTACCTTTTTCAGGAGCACAAAATCATTCTCCACGGATGTCCGTTTGTTTATTTCCTCCTCGTACCTGTTGATTGCAACAAGGGAGATGGAGTCTGGCTGCTTATTTTGGCTTTGGCTGCCGCTGGCAACCAGAGGTTGTTGGCCTCAGACTAACGAGCGCAGCCGAAATAGACCTGCCATGGGCGAGATTTATGGACGAGCAGCAGCGCTTTGCCTGTCTAGATGAGCCCAGGCTGCTGCCATCTCCAGTGCCTCGCTGAAGGAAGCCTGCAAAGGGCAATCCTAGCTCTGCCTGAACCGAGTCCTGGGGGCTGTGGCCACTCCAGCTCCTCCTACGAGACGCGAGGACCTTCTGGTCCCTGGCAAGGGCCCGTTCCACACTGCC